TTCATTATTAAATTATATTATTTTATATATTTTATATTATAAATATATATGTAATAATTATACAATTAAGATTTTAATAATAAATATAAAGCCTCCCTTCCCAAAAAGCAATATAAAACAAAATGCTAAATTTATAGAAAAATTTTAGTAAAAATAATTCTTTTAAAAATTTTTTATTGAACTAAAATTTTTAAATAATAATTTAATTTTCATATAATGAAACTAATCAGATGAAATTAATATATTAATAAAAAAAGAAAAAATAAATACTAATAGAATAATGTTATATGATATATAAAGTTAAGTGATAAAATATTTTAATATATTTTGTAACATATTTTTCAAATTAATAACTGATTATAATTTTTGAATATGCAAATATCTTTTCAAACAGCTTTTCTTTGAGATTTTATTATTTTTGATATATTATTATTTCAAATAATTAATTAGTATTCTTAAATATTTCAGTTTCCAATTTGTTTTAAGTAATTCTAAAGATATCTAAATATTTATATAAGTATTTCATAAAAAAAATTATCAATATAAAAATTTTCTATAATCAATTCAAAAATCTGTAATAAACTAAATTTTTATGCAATATAAGTATATTTATGTTTCCATTTTTTCCAAATTTCTTTCAATTTTCTTATCCAAATTTTATTGCTTATGTTAATTAGACAATCTGATTTGTAGTTTACAATACATATATATGATATATATTAGTTTGATATGATATTATCAAAAATATTTTATTTTTATTTTGTATAAAAATCCAAATGCGATAAATAATAATTGTAGAGACAATGTCACTAATATTGTTTATTACAGTTCTATCTACAATTAGTCTTATTTATCTTTATTTAAAATATTATATTCAATTTATTATATTATTTATTTTACCAGAAATTATTTTCTATCATAATTCGATAACAAAATAAAGATAAATTGCTTTCAACAATTTTTGTAAATTTATTTAATATTTTTAGTAATTAAATTAAATAATAATGCTAAAATGATAAAAAAAATTTCATAATCAAATATGAGTTTCAAATTATGTGATATATAAATCTCTAAAAATAGAAAATTTTCATAGATTTAAAAAACAACTTTTTTTTAAATGAAATTATACATATAATTTTTATGTATCATTATAATAATTGAATCGAAAATTAATTAGTTTCTAAGATTTTTTAACTTTTTCCCATAATATTTTATTTGGGTAAATATATATATATATATATATTTATATATATATTTAACATTACTTCATCATGTATCATTTACAAATTCAAAAAAATAAATATATATATATTTGTTTTTTGCAATCAAAGTGTAAAATTACAAAAATATTCTAATCGAATACAATTAATAATATGTACATATTTTAAAAAATTGTAAATTAGAAATTATAGAAATTTATAAATTTAAAATTATAGAAATACAATTCTTTTTTCTTGATTCAAAAGAATTTAAAGCCTAAGAATACAGAGATAAAAATGTTATGTTTATTCTTATATGCACTCAACAGAATCCACAAATTTTATGATTCAATAATATATGATTTTATGAAAAAATTACATTATTTTGAAAACTAATTAATTTTTAATCCAATTATATAATTTTTTTATATAGAGAATGAAAAAATATATCAATTTGTGTAAAAAATATATAGTTATATATAAAAAAAAAATTATTGGCTTTTAAATTTATGAAATTTTTTTATTTTTGTAAAATTTATATATTAGATAATGCAACATTAAAAATTGTTTATTTTATTGAAATTTCTTTCTATTTTTTTATTTTAGTATTATCAGTCCAGTTGCAACTCTACAAAATATAATATCCCATAGCTAACCATAATTACTTATATACCTATATTATCTCTATAATAACTCTCAAAATAAAAATATTTTATTTTATTTTTTATATATTTTTTTATAATTTAAAATTTCCAAATAATTTTCCAAATAAATCCTAAGTTTTTCTTCATAATAATAATAATAATAATAATAATAATAATAATAATAATAATAATAATAATAATAATAATAATAATAATAATAATAATGATAATGATAATGATAATGATAATAATGATAATGATAATGATAATAATAATAATGATAATGATAATAATAATAATGATAATAATAATAATGATAATAATAATAATAATGATGATAATAATAATAATAATGATAATAATAATGATAATAATGATAATAATGATAATAATGATAATG